GTAGGATTTCCATAATGAGCCGGTGACTAGAGCAATGTACGTTATATAATCCTCGCGAGAAACGGCGAGACGACGCGTTTCGTTGGACCGGAAATTATAGAAATATAATATTATATGGCATAATGTATAATTTATTGTGTTAACTCTTTTTTTTCTATTTATCTTGACCTGTGAGACAGGATAGGGAAGGAAACGCTGTTATATTCGTTTAAAATTATATTTTTATCGGACTATAATACTATCTACCATAATAATTATCACTCGCCCAATTATAATATGTACCTCTGTACTAACCACAATATTTAATTATTGTATTATACAGGAATATTATTATTAAACTTTAAATTAAATATTTTTTTATTTTATTTTGTTATTTTATACATTTATTGTTGAAAATGCGTATAATAAAATTCGAGGTCTATATAGGCACTTATGTCAATTTGATGCCCATCAGGTCGCAGTATTTGTCCACGGAAGTTGAACATTATGTTTTGTTTTGGGTAATGATGAAAATAAAATGTTTGTAACGGACATTTCGTACGTTTATGTGATTATAGACGAGATATTTCAATTCAAGTCGTAGCTTAATTTCTCAAAGCTAACGATCTGTTAAATCGGCAGTTTTATATGGTCATATGGATGATGCAAGTTAGTACAATATTTAATATAGTATTTTATATTTCTATCTACCACCTTTCAAAAACATTATAAAACAGTAAAATTAAAAACACATGCTGTTTTTCTCCGTAAAAAAATAAAAAAAAATAAGAAAAAAAATAATGATAATTGATAATGAAAACGGTTTGACGAAAACTCGCAGTTTAATATTTATTATTTACTTTGATCGATACGACTCACATTTAGCAAGAATTGCAACAATGCAAAATGTAAGAATTAATAATAAGTACCGCGACACCAGGACCTGGTACCTACATCAAAAAGATTGAATCACACTAACCAAGATTTTCTTTCTTGCTTTCAAACGATTGTAATTCAAATGCAATCAGCGCCTTCAAATTTAAAATCACAGCATACCTATACTAGTATAATGTGTATATACCACAAGTTCACAACCACTGGTGTGGGTATAATGAGTACCCATGCCCTGTCCTTTTTTTTTTTTTTCAAATTTACAATACTGACTATCATATAATGATATTCAAACAATTCGTATTATTATCTAAGTACCTAGTCAATAGTTCTTCTAAAAATCAAATTTAAACGAAAAAACATTCTCACGATATTATTGAAAGAAAAATTAGCAACTAGTTATTATGAATAAAATGTGTAGGTTTATACATAGGAAATAATAAAGTAGACACAATAAATATATTATTTAATTATATAATGACGTCGGAATCAAATCTTGCAGAATGTATTATTCTATATGGACAAAGTTCGACTGTATTTTATTTTGAAAATGAAAACGCTAAGTTTCCAAATGTCCGAAACATTCTACCAAATCGCGAACTAGTGGATGGGACTCAGTCATTTCTTTAATAATTGTTTGCAGAAACCAGAAAATATGTGTCATCCATTTCCACTTAGTGAAAACTGAAAATCACTCAATTCATAAACTGTAAATCCAGTTAATAATATCTGTATCTATTTCTTATTTATCTGTATGACAATTTATTTTTCAAGTTTATTAACTGGATAAATTTCATTAAACTTCATTAAATTATAAATTATTGAACATAACATTATTGATTATTATTATTTATTAAACACACTATCATGCAATTTTATTTAAACTATATTGAATCAGTTACTATTTATTTTAAAATGGTAACGATCTGTGGCAACGATTATTGTCTTTACAAATACTTTTTTTAGCCTCACAAGTAGGTATATAAAAAAAAAATCTTGACCACTTTAAAAAACTGTTACAACCTAACTTACTTAACTTATAGTTAATTCTGTATCCAACTTATATAGCCGTTTAAATTTAATAACTATTCACATCTTCTAAGCTATCACCTACCCACAACCCTTCAAAGTGGTCCATACATTTGTCCCAACCTAAAAAATCGACTATTTTTGTACAATAAATTATCTTTAACCCTAATGTCTTTGCAAAATATAAATTATCATATCCCCTATATCTGAAAATAAACTGAAAGAGCGATTTGTCTATAAGTGGGGTGTACGACTGTACGAGTGTAGCTTTCTGTTGAAGATATAGGGTTTTCTGCATAGAGTCTATATGGAGTACTATAGACATTACAATTTACTAAGAATTCAAAATCTTTTGAGTGTGGTTGGACTGTTGGAGTCTTGGTCATGCGAACTCTGAACCGAAAAGTACTTTACGCTCTCTGGTAGTTGCGCCAACGGATGCGTCTACTGCGCGTTGATCCGTTTGCATATCTTGAGGAAAATGTCAAGATTCAAGCCCCCAGACGACCTGCATCGGGCAGGTTGATCTGATCTCAATGTTTCGAATCTTCTAGTGATTTCGTACTAGTTTCTGTCCCAGAGTCCACATCATACGCATCGTACGGTACATATTATAATAACAGTACCGGTTGCCCGCGTGGACTACGAAATTCGGGATACCGCGGTTCTGGTAGCCAAAAACACTGCCGACATAGTCTCTCTGAAATTTGCTGGATTAGTTCATTATTGGATCATCGTATATATCATCGTAATATTCTAGATCGATTATAGGTATTTGATATTATATCGCCATAAAAACAGTAATATTATTTTCAACGACGAAAAGTACAATTAACATTGAAATATATTTCAGCTACGTTTAGGTATAGTATAATGAATCCAACCGGAATTCTCATATGATAGTATATATTATAACATATAATATTATGTGTATTATAGTGCGTACATATGAACCATCACTATTATAGTACTAAATACAAATGAAGTTGTAAATGAGTGCGTAGGTATACAATATTCAACTGAAAATGTATATACTGTATAGGCACTTATCTACTGTAAAATAATTTAATTAACATATTATAATATAATTTAATTAAAATATTATAATATAATTAATATTACTTGGATGAAATTTAATACTGACGTAAAATAATGAAATACTTGTTTACACCAACTACAGTAGATAATATATTATGAACTATAGATAATCAAATTTTTTTGACTTCATAGACTTTTTTTTGGTACCTACCTTATTATTGTTATAAATTATAATATGTATAAAATGCAATGAATTTCCAATGATATAGGTTTTCAAAGCTAAATATTTGGAAACAATGATCTTAGCGCTTAATTTGTTTTACGAATAATTACAGTGATACATATATTTTGACCATTTGAACATTGAACATAATAATTAAAATACACAGTAAGGTTGATTTAACAATGTATTAACTATGTAATAATAATATAACGATGTTAAAAAATAGAAAAATAAATAGGTACCTAATATGATAGCAATACACGTTTAAACTGTTTACATGTTATAATATGTGTGTTAATTAATAAGGTCGTGAGGAAGGCTCCGTTTTAATCTATGCTCAGGTAGATGATCTCGAAGATTGTAATAAAGTGAACATGTTGAGTTGAGCAGTGATCCATGAAAATTTTTGGATAGGGTTTTGATGGGGTCTTGAATTTCTTTAACTGAGAAATATTTATGAAAATTTACTTTTCTTATAAGCCAGGGCATTTGCAATTATTTTAAAGTTATACTTATTTGGAAATATTTGTATTTTATTAATGTGAGAGATCGTGCATTTGCCAATACAAATGAAGTTAAAAATCATTGATTTTGTAGTTGGTATTACACTATTACATGTGGATTGATCGATGAATAGGTACACCATTAATTTATATCTAACATAATATTTTCGATGAAATCGTATGAATAATATTATTTTTATAAAGTTTAATGTTATACTCCACGTGTGGAGCAACCGTTGAACCTTATTATGTAGGTATGTAAAATTCCATTGTGTAATAAGTTATGGTCGTGATGCAACGATTGACACGAAACAACCATTATTATAAATATAAATCTATAAGAATTTCGGTGATGATTTTATGTAGGTACGTAAGATGACTGTTCCAGCTATAATACTTATAAGTTATAAGTTATAAGTTTATATCGATTGGATTCCCTGTACACAGGACAGGTGGCGGTCATCAACGATCTAAAAGTACCTGCAGCTACAACACAGGTACTGTGCACGCATCAGATTTTCCTAGTTCAAACTCGGTTTTTAGTTAATACTGTAATAGTAGTTTTGAGATATTTATTTTTATACTTCAGTTGAATTATGTTATGATATTATTCCATAATAGATTTTAATATATCATAATATTATACACATGGACCATTATACGGGTAACACTTATTATACTGCGTATATCCGGCGCGAGCATGTTGTGCCTATAATATTATAGTTTTTAAATACATACAGCGATATACCATATACGTAGGAATGTTTTTAATTCATATAATATTAACAATACGTTCGCTTTTCGGCCGTTGCCATCGGTATACAAAGATATTATAATGCTAAATTATATTATTATTATTATGGCGTACACGAATATTACCAGAACGACAGACCCGCAGCAGCAGCAGAAGCAGACCGGTAATTATCATCCGGCAGTGCAGAATATTATAATGTGCAGTGTGCTGTGCTGTTGTGTCGAGCGGACGCGCGGGACGCCGAGGAAACGGCCAAGACGAAGAAACGACGACCTCCGAGGCCACCGTACCACCTGAACCGTTACGACAATGCCCACTCGTCGTCGTCTTAGTCCTATAAGTCTTGGTCGTGTATATATGTATGTGCCCTGTTCGCGTTTTCTTCACACACACACACACACACACACACACACACACACACACATGCGTGAGTTAACTGCGAATATTAGCATTGCCTCTCAAAGTTGAACATCGCAGAAACAGTACGTCGCCGGCGACCGCTCGCTCACCATATAATATAATACATCATCTAGTCGTCCGACCGTATATTGTCGTCGTACCTACATCGCCAACCATCATCATCATGTACGTCGAGTGGCTGCGGAGTGTAAGTCTTATTATATTATTATGTATCAGATATCTATGGAATAGTATTATTGTACGGTTCAATTTGTATTGGTTATGGGCTTATACAGTTATACCACCGTTCAGCCGTTGTGTACAGCGTTATATTATAATATAACCGTGAGGGGACAGTGTCTTACGGTGAAAACCTGCTGTATATAGACAGATGGTTCGATTTTCGGGGTGAAACATCAACCGGGACTATCATATCTAGCGGGCTTTAGGGGATCTAAGCCCTAAGGTTTTATGAATAAGTTCACGAAAGTTTTACTTGAACTTGCGATGATAAACATTTTTTAAATTTGGCGTGTTTTGTTCTTGTATTTTTTTTTTGAAATAATAATAAATCCTTTTTAAGGTTAAAAAAAAAAATGTTATTATTAATGAACTGATTTCTTCGTTAAGAGTTGGGATTTACCAGAAATATAATTTTATTATTCTAAGAAAATATTATTATATAGGTAGGTACCAAACAAACAACGTTGATGATTTAGCATTCATTCATATTAATAAAATTCTATTTAATGCTTGATCATCATTATCTATTCCTCTATAATATATGGAATTAGCGAGGGATAATGAAAAGACGGAAATGTAATATATTTGTTTAGCTGCAAAAGAAATCGTTTTTGTATGCTATAATCTAACAATAATGGCAAAACTATAAGTTTGCATTAATTTATCTCATGTTTAAGAGGGTTGAAGAAAAACTTAGTCTTTATGAAAATATAGTTTCTTAACAGTCTTAACTATATTATGTCGATTTGTGCGAAACACCGTGATGAGAATTTTATTCGTACGATTAGTTTGTACACATTTCTGAAATCTTTAAAAATAATTTGTATCTATAAGCGAACGTCTTTAACAAGTTTTTTGAAAATTAGCTACAAGACTCAGTGTTATTTTATTATAGTTTTCGAAACATTTATTCGACGTTTAGTTTTAAAATTTTTGATAAGGTACGCGTTAAGTGAGTAGACAGGAATATTGGGCTGCACTAGGTAGGTATTAAAATAATATATATATGGAACCCTATCTTATTATCTTTCTAGTACAGTACTCGGGTAAGTACTAAAATAGGTGTTGATGTTTGTGTCGTCCGAAGACCGAAACGAATACCAGAGATCTGCAGTTACTGTATTATATACAAGTTATAATCCGTAGTAGGATTTGAAGTTTCTTTTGACCAAACTTATAATGCGCTTTGTATTTGTTTTGTTTTTACGATGAGACTTCGAGAGACGTTACCTACCACCTACGAGTAGTTTAGATTCTGGCTTATCGAATGACACCCGGAATAATATACTATATTATATTGTCTTAATTATATAGTTTTATTTTGAGTAAAGAATAACTATAGGTATATGCGCTAACGGATATTGGTTTAATGAATATTTTCACCACCCAAATAGTATTATACAGGGCGATTCATCAATCATGTTCACCCCTAATTTTTCTTTAATAATGAATTTATACAAATTTTGATTTAGTTATTTTTATGACCATATTATAATTTTCATACTCACATTTAAGGAGTGTCTTGTGGCGATAAAATATCGATTTTTCAAACGATAACCAAACTTTTTTCACAGTAAATTGTTAATCAGATGACTTTTTTCTAAAATTATGTAACTAAAATCTAAATATTAAAATACTAACGATTGGGTAGTTACTAAGTTATTAACAGTTAAAATGTATAAAATAAGAATACAAATTTGAAATATTAACGAGGCTGATCATACTTGATGATCCATATATATATGTATAATGTATACGAGATGGAATTGAGATGCCGAACGATAAAATGCTGCAGTACGGTACTACGGATCAAATGTCAAAAATATTCGTTAGATTTTATGCTCTTTGTGCGACAGCACATGCTCCGAAAGACATAAAAGAGGGTTGTACACGATTACCACACAAATACACACCTCATAATTACAAACCTCTGCTACTTCACTTTGATTCAGGTAGCGTTTCCCATAATAATTGTTTTTTTTTTTAATAAAATCAATTTACATGATAATTTTATTTGATTTTGTGAACAAGTTTTGACCAAGGTTCATGCGGGACCTGTAGCTCTTTGTAAAAACGTTTAATAGGATTATAATGTTGATATATTATATATAGTTGATGCATATTATTAACAAACAGTTGTGGTTTTTCTCAAATTGTATTATTGTGTGAGCACGTTTGTAATAGCACCCCCGCTCAAATGTAAACTCAAGAAAAAGTTTCCAAAAATTAAGCCCCTGATTGGGTTTTTATACTTGCGTGATTTTAATGGTTTCTAAAACATTTAATAATTTTTACAAATTTAACATAATATTATTATACATTCCATAATTATACGTATAGCTTGAATATTTTATTATTATTATTATTATTATTATACGTATAGAGTATAGACGACTGTAGGTGGTTTTTATTTTATTTTAGTATAAAATTATACAAGTTTATTGCAATTGATACGAAGCCCTTTCTTATTTAAAATTCTTTAAAAATGAATGTAGGTACTTTTTAATAATATTATAAGTTGAAAAAAATACTTTTTATAATATATAAATATCTTACCTTCCCATGTCCTGCGTCCTAAGAGGCTAAGAACCTATACAGGCAACTCACCAAGCACTTCCTTCATTTATCCTTATAGTGCATATTATTGTATTGTAAAAATTCTGATTTTCAGAAATCGTTGTATTCTTAAAAGTTAAAGATCATATTTTTTGATGGATTTTTATAGTATTTATGGAGTGTTGATACAAACTTATATTTTTCAAATGAAAACCACTCTTTTTTCCATTAGATGTTAAGGAGTTGTTTTTTGTTGTAATTTAAAAACAAACAACCTTGTAGGTACCTATAAAAATATAATACAAGAATTTTTTGTATCACAATCCAGGAATAAATTAAAAATATATATGTAAGTACATTATTTAGTTATCATTTTTTTTTAATATTAATTACTTTTAATAAAAAAATTGTTTTTTACAACTAATACATTTTTTTTTTATATAATGAAGGTCGGCTTTTTTTGTCGTTGCCCTGGGGTGACAAATTCCTAAACAATAGTCCTGATAACTATAGTAATAATATATGGAATTATATTAAAATAACAATTATATAATATACGAAATTATTATCGGATATTTTTGAGGCAAAAATTGGTTCAACCAACTGTACTATAGGTACCAATTGAAAATAAATAATGAATAACAATTTAAATATTTAATACGTAATAAAATATTCCTAGAAACATAGGCTGACAGACAGCCAGTCTCCACTCAGAGTCGTTTTTCCTATTCAGTGATTTAGTATTGAATTTAAATTGAATACATTCATTACGCCGACCTATAAACTCAATAACGAAATACATAAATATTATGTATATAGCAGAGCGAGTTCCTCTATTTTTTTTTAATATCCCAATACTTCATCTTACAATTTTATCCTTAATTCAGATTTAAATTTAAGTTATGTGAAGTTATGAAGTGTATATTTAGCTTGTGGCTACATTTTGTCATGTTATGCGAGCGTTGGTGGCTAAATATGATGGATCCCGGAGGGTAAAAAGCATTAAAAAAAAATGTTGTCATTGTTTTTTTTTTATTAAAACTGTCCCAAGAATGTATCAGTTTGTGTGGTGAGAGTTTATAATAATATTCTTTTAAACAATTTTTTCAAATATTATTATTTATTACGTTCTCTATTTGAATATATTTTATTGTTAAAATAAAAAGTCAACGTTTTGTTATAAATTAAATTACAGTTGCTCTCGACTGCAGGTGTAATACTACGGAATGTTTATTATTTTATATATACATATAGGTACTTTTATTTTATCATATAAATGCCTTTTAGTTTTTTTTTATCGATACAGTACGCACCCACACATAATATTTTTTAATATCCTGAAAAAAATGTCTATGATAGTTTGAAGGTTAAATCAGAATGGGTACCAACATTATATTCTATTACTATTACTAGCTCTCCAACCCGGCGATGCTCTTGCAAAATATTTTATTTGTCAGATGAAAAATGTATGTGTGAGTAACCCTTTAAGCCAATAGAGGTTGAAAAAAAAGCAACAAACTCAATGTCTCAAAGCATTTTATTGAAAATGGTCCAGTAGTTTTTGAGTCTATCAATTCAGATAAACCAACATATTATAACCTATATATTTTTAGCAGTATAACCCGACTTCTCCCGTGCAAAAATGAAAAATATTAAATATACGGCATTACCGCTATATTATATAGGTGTTCTTGGTTTTAATGTAGGTACCAGTTCATGGGAAAATCGGTACACCTCACTTTGTGAACTAATCATTTTTTCTATGAGAAGTATATGAATCTTTTTAAAATCTACTCTTTGGAAAATCCTTTCTTAACGCACCATTACATGGTGGTACGAACTTACGAAAGTACGTTCCAAATTCGTTTTCAGTTATTATAGTTTAGACTCTACATTGTTCAGTAAGTCAGGCAGTTAGTTTAAAAAGCATTTTTAGTTTTTCCCAAATTTTTCATTTTCCGGATATTTTTTCTTTCTGTAAAAACATTGTTCAGACTTCTGCGTCCATAAAATAAAATGGGACTAATCGGTCCAGCCGTTCTCAAGTTAAGCTGCAGAATTTATTTTTATTTATATAGATGGTAATATAATATTAGGTTTCTTATATAAGTCAACGATAATGATTAGGTACCTATATTATTGTGGACCTTAGCAATAAGGCAGTAAATGGGGTCCAGATGTTGTATCCAGAATGATCGTATATATTGCTGTTGATAATAATGTTAGATCCTCATAGTTTGTTTTTTCCGTATCACTTTATTTAATTTATACCTATTCAAAAGTCATGTAAATTTTCTAAGAAGTTTATAACATTATTAAATATATTATTAAACAATATTATATCATAGCCTGTGGGTGGCATTACACAGACCTAAATAATATACAATAAATAGCATTGTTATTCTTAAG